CTGTGGATAGAGAATATCCATGCTGTGGTGTTCAGTGAAAAAAAGCAAATGGTATATATAGTAAAATATTATCTTTACAAAAACACAAAGCAAGTAAGTATGGGTATGGACATACTGTAAGTACATCAAGAAAATCTGGAAGGCCACATGCCGTACTGTGCAGTAGCTCCCTTCCCAGTGGAGTGGGCCATTGGGAAGGGAACATATTTTAACATCAAATGTTTCCATATTTGCATTTTTAAAAACAATAAGTGTACATTACTATTGTAAATTTAAAAGTTTCTCTGTTTATTTTTTGTATACTTTTAGGTTGTCTAGGTTGTTTTAGAAATAAGGACTTTTTTCATTATTTAAAGTTTCTTTATTAGAAGAATTTTTTTAATGTTTACTTTTGAGAGAGAAAGAGAGACAGAGACAGAGACAGCGTGAGTGGGGGAGGGGCAGAGAGAGAGAGGGAGACAATCCAAAGCATACTTGCTCCAAGCTCTGAGTGGTCGGCACACAGCCCGGCATGGGGCTTGAACTCATGGACCGCAACATCATGAGCTGAGCTGAAGTCGGATGCTTAACTGACTGAGCCACCCAAGAGCCCTTAAAGTTTATTTATTTATTTTGAGAGAGAGAACATGAGCAGGGAATAGGTGGAGAGAGAAGGAGAGAGAGAATTTCACGTTCCACATTGACAGCGTGAAGCCTGACGTGGGCTCAATTTCACAAACTATGAGATCAAGACCTGAGCCAAAATCAAGAGTCTGACACTTAACCAACTGAGCTACCCAGGTGCCCCGTAGACTGTGTTTTTAACGCACTGCTTTGTGTTTTTGTATTTTGCTTTTACCACATAATTGCTTAGTGTTATTTGTTAAATCTAAAATTTCATAAGTTAAAGTATTACCTTTTAGCATTTATTGAATACTTGCAATGGTTGATTATTAGCAAATAAATATGTCCTGAGTATTTATACTTAATATTTAGGTTGAAAAAGTGTTCTAGACTTCTGAGCTCATCAAATCTTTATATACTATGAAAAAACACTTATGATATAATATAGAAAAGATCTAGATCCATAAAAATAATTTAATAATAATAATTGAATGTAAATGTCACTGAGGGAGCTAGAATATTTATGTGATAACTGCTGTTTGAATGAAATTAAAGGATAAAGTTTTCAGTATTAATAGGCAATTAGTTATGCAATACCAACTAGTAATGCTTAGTGCTTTTCATCTTCAAAGCGTTATACAACATTAATTAATACTTACAGCATTATTGCAAATGTAGGTCAATATCATTATCCTTATTTTTGCAAGTAGGGAAATTGAGGCAGAGAAGTTAAATGGTTTGGGGTAAGTTTGTCATAGCTAGATTAGAATTGAGGCATGTTTGGCTCACAGCCCAGCATTCAGAGCAGGAGAACCACACCTTCCTTAGGAGACTTAATCTCTGTGCCCTTGATAAAACATTACTTCTTTATTAAACTATATTGAGGTCATTTCTACATTGAAATTCAGAAACAAGTTTGATCACTATATAGCCACTTAAAATAAAACACTATACTATTTTTTTCTTCTCTTGTTTTCCTGACACTGTCTTTTTCTCTGCCCTCCCTCCCTCCCTTCCATATTTATTTAGTTTTAGAGACAGAGTACGAGTAGGGGAGAGGCAGAGAGAGGGAGGCACAGAATCCAAAGCAGGCTCAAGGCTCTGAGCTGTCAGCGCAGACCCTGACGCAGGGCTCAAACCCACCATCCAAAGAGATCATGACCTAAGCCAAAGTTGGACACCCAACTGACTGAGCCAGCCAGGTCTCTCTCTCTCTCTCTCTCTCTCTCTTTTGACACTATACTATCTTAATTGCTTTTTCATCATCTTCTTGTTGGAGAATTGCCAAAATATCTACCCTTGACTTTGTTTTGTTCTGGGATCTTACTCAGTGGTTTTTAGGTTTCTCTTTAGATAATCCCAAAATAGTTTTTGTTACAGTCAGGCCCCTTTTCTGTATTTATATCTACCAGTTAGACATAGCCACATCTACTTTTATACCTTAAATTCCCACAGTGTCAAAAATTCCCTTACCTACATTGGGAAAACTTGCTCCTTTTCTAGACTAACCTGTTTCTGTGTATGTTAATCCAAATCATGCTCTTGAAACTAGAATAAACCAAGTGGGAACAGGTCTGTGTAAGGGGTTCTTACAAATTGGGTGTGGCTAAGAAAAATGATATTTGTGAGTCCTTCACAGAGTGAAGACGCTGAATCACAGTGTAAGGAAGAAAGAGTTAGAAACTGAGCAGCAAGGGAAAAGTAAACAGGAAACTGAGTAGCCAGGTCAGTAGCTGGGAGGATTGAGGTGTGTGGCTTGAGTAGTTGAGGTAGTCATGAGCAGAATGTTCTGGTTCCCTTTTATCTGGCACATGATGGTAGAGACATGCCTGCTCAGTGGAGCCTTGCTTAAGGCAAGGGCCACTGTCTGTGCAGTAACCAGATCGCTGTTCATTGGTGGTTACTCCAGATTCTTCCTTCTTTCTCACTTTTTACAGTTCATCAGTCCCCATAGGCTATTGACTCTTCAAAAAAATCACTTGAATCTGTTTCTTTTTTTTAATTTTTATGTTTTTTAAAATTTATTTTTGAGAGACAGAGAGAAACACAGTGAGCGGGGGAGGGTCAGAGAGAGAAGAAGATACAGAATCCGAAGCCGGCTCTAGGCTCTGAGCTAGCTGTCAGCACAGAGCCCGACGCGGGGCTTGAACCCATGAACCGTGTGATCATCACCTGAGCTGAAATTGGAAGCTCAACCGACTGAGCCACCCAGGCACCCCAAATCTGTTTGTGTTTTTCAATGCTCCATTCCAGCTGCCACCATCCCAAATCAAGTTCTTGTTGCTGAATATTAGTGTTGTTTCTTTTATTGTATTACTTTCCTAGCAGGTCACTTGTATCCTCTTCCTGTACTCCATCAGTATTCCTACCTACACAGTTCGTCTTCCAACAACAATTCTGATCTTCTGATTACTTTTTCTAAAATACCTTACCCGATCAGAGTCTTGTCACTATTCCTCATTAGCTACCTAGCAGATGTGAAGTCCTGATGGCTAAGTGTGGCATTCAGACTTCTTTAGTGAGGCCCTGATTTATGTCTTCTATTTGTACCAAAATGTTTTATTATTTCTCAAATAAGCCTTGCAGCTTATATTTGTTTATACTGTTCCCTCATTTTTATTTCTCTCCCTCTGTCAAATCTAACAATCCTCAGGGCACTTGGGTGGCTCAGTCAGTTAAGCTTCCACCTTTCCCTCAGGTCATGATCTCATGGTTCGTGGGTTCCAGCCCCACATCGGGCTCTACCCTGATGATGTGGAGTCTGCTTGCGATTCATTCTCTCTCCCTCTCTCTCAGCCCCTCCCCCCTTCAAAATAAATAAATAAACTTAAAAAAAATCCAACAATCCTCAAATGCCCTTTTACTTTATTATCAAACTAGAGTATCTGCAGAAACACTGCTAGCCCTTTGTTGCTAGATTGGCACTTACCATAAACTTCATACTGTTTTTTTGGTTATTTTATCTGCTACACTAGATACTATTTGATAGTAGAGAGTCTACTTTGTTATTCTTCGTAATTGGAGTCAGTAAAATGTCATATACCTAAAGTGCTCAAAATATTGGTGACATTAAATTAATATTATTTAATTGATAATTAATATAATTAATATTGTAGGACTCTCTGAGGTACAAATGACCTGGCCTAATGCTCTGCTCTTTTGTTGCAGTAGGTGTAATCCAAGCTTGAGATCTCTTTAAGACTCCTCTGCCCTTTTACACAAATGTTATCATTGCTTGTTTGGCTTAGTGTTAAATATTTCAAAATACTTTTAAAAATCTTAATTTCTGATAATGTGACATTAATTAATTATGGTTATGCATGTGCTTAACAGGTATTATTAATGATTCTATGTTGGTGGCCTTGACAAGAGATTATGAGAGAACACACTGAGTTTTAAGTAATTTGAAAGTTGCTTAATGATACAGGTAACCAGTGGTTTATCTTAAATTTATGCTTTTTAGTTGTCTTTATTTTTGTACATTTTGAATTGGTGAATATTCCTGAGAAACTCTATTGGTAGTAAATAGCAAGTATACACTCTAAGTTTATGCCCAAAAAAGATTCCCTTATCTTAGGCTCTCTGAGGTATTGTGCTGGTACACATTTATTTTAAATGTCTTGTTGGTGTCAAGTATCATTTATCTTTGTTCAACTAGAGCAATGTCTTCTATTTGTTAGTTCTTTCCTTTCGCATCATGTTTTACATTAGGGTTTTATTTGCACTCTAGCTTACTGTTCTTCCCAAACCAGTCAGAATAGATGACTTCAGAAACCAGGGAAGACAAGTGTTTTGCAGATTTATTTAGTGGCAGGTAATCTGTACCTCTAAAACAGTTTTTTTTTTTTTCAGAAAAAAATTATCAAAAGTAAAGCAAGTTGCAGGGTTTTTAACACAACCATTTTTTATTTTCCATGTTACTTTCTTAAAATTTAGTCTATATGGTAGCAGTTGTCTTTAGGCAAATAAATATTGATTTAATATAATGTAACCGGTTTTGGAGGAAAGGCTTTAAACTTTTTTTAAAAATGTAAGTAAAAAGTAAGAAGGCTCTCTGGGATCCTTTCATCATTCTGTCCTCAAAATTTGATGTCATAGGGGTACTTGGGTGGCTCAGTTGGTTAAGTGTTCAACTCTTGATCTTGGTTCAGGACATGATCTCGTGGCTTGTGAGATTGAGCCCCACATTGGGCTCTGAGCTGTCAGAGCAGTACCTGCTTGGGATTCTCTCCCTTTGTCTCTGCTCCTCCCCTACTCACTTGTGTGCACTATAAATAAATGAATGAATGGATGAATTAGTAAATATTTGGACTGTAAGATTCTGCCCCTCCAGGAGAATAATCATCTAGGTTTAGGTTAAGATTAATTTAAATCGTGCTGCTTATTCTCTCATGCAGATTGCAAATTCAGGTTCAGGATGGCCTTCTGAGACATCTGGGACAGTCACCAACTATCTTACAAAATTAAAGTAAGCAGAAAATTGTAGAAACTTAGAAGTTATTTTAACATAAAAATTATGGGCATTTTGTTGTTGTAGAGGTTTTTTCTTTTTCTGTTCTTTTCATTTGGATTGTTCTTTGCTATATTTTTTTATAAAATCATTTTTTCATATATCCCCTTAAATGGATACTTCTGTTCTAGCTCTAAGTTGTTCATTGGATTTTATTCTCAGAGAAACGCACAAGGGCACTGAGTAGGGAGAGCACTTCTGATCTAACTTTTTAACTTTTTAAGGCACTCCCTATTTCTCTCCCTTTTTAATCTCTGCTCACACCCCAATCCAACAATGTAGAATCCATCATTCTTCTGAAATTCTTTTCTTACCTCCTTCAAAACAACTATTTATGCACTAATACAGTATTTGAATAATACAAGCTCAGTCTTGACTACTTCCTCCAGGCAGATTTTTCAAATGAGGAAGTTATCAACATTCTTTTTAACTGGTGCATTCTTGAGTAAGATGCAAGACGTTTAAAGGTCTGCATCTTTTAAAGAACCTGCACAGTGTAAAGATGGCAAGACATTTTGAGAACTAATATGAATAATGACTTGATCCCCTCTCACTATGCCCATGTAGTTATTATTGTAGATTTTTATAAACTTGTTTTATTTACTCCATTAATTCTCTTTAGTTTTATATGGTCTTACCAGCAGATAGTCAAAGTGCAGGGGAAAAGAAGGATAAATAACCTGTGTTTGACGATCTTTGGCCCACCTGCTGCAGTATGACCTCTGCAAAGCCTCCTTAATTATTGTATTTTGGAGAGTGTGCAGCGGTTGTCACATGTGCTCATAAACAAGTACAATCATTTACTAATGGACATGAGCTATTTTTTTTTAATACTTTATTTTTTTATTTTTATTTATTTCTAGGAGAGAGAGAGAGAGAGAGACAGTGTGAACAGGGGAGGGTCAGAGAGAGAGGGAGGTACAGACTCCGAAATAGGCTCCAGCCTCTGAGCTGGCAGACAGCACAGAGCCCGACATGGGGCTCGAACCCACCAACCGCGTGATCATGACCTAAGCGAAAGTCAGACGCTCAACCGACTAAGCCACCCAGGCGCCCCTGACATGGGCTATTTTCTTCTCACTTGCCTCACCCAACTATTTCTAGGCTTGCTCCATCAACTGATTATTGCTGCTGTTTCTCCAGGTAGTATGGATTACTCCTTGGCCATCATGTCTACTTTTGTTGGGTGTGGATCCCATTTTGTCTGGATTCCACACTCTTACTGAGTAAGTTCATCCAAATAGCTGCCAGTCCTGCTTACTTTCTGCTGGGTATCATCCCCTACAACTACTTCATTACCCTTATACCAGATGTTCCCTATGGGGGCCATAAAGGGGTCCTTTGTTTTTATTTATTTATTAATTAATTTCTTGTAATTTTTTTGAGAGAGAGAGCATATGTGTGTTCACATGTGCACACTTATGAGCAGGGAATGGGTGGGATGGGGGGGAGAAAGAGAGAGAGAGAAAGAGAGAGAGAGAGAGAGAGAGAGAGAGAGAGAGAATCTTAAGCAGGTTCCATGCCCAGTGCAGAGCCCAGTACAAGGCAGATCTCACAACTGTGAGATCATGACCTGAGCTGAAATCAAGAGTCAATTGCTTAACCAACTGAGGCATCCAGGCACCCCCAAATGGGTCCTTTTATAAAGTAGAATGCCCATCTCTCCCTCTGCCCTGTGTTTTTTAGTGGAAAATAGTATCAGTACAAACTGATATTATTTGTGTACAGAACATTTTGAGAGATGGGGCATCTTTCTCAGTTTTCCCACTCCATTGGGACTATCTTCCAGGTAAATCAGTTGGTGCTGACCTACCTGGAAGACAAGTCCGGATCATAGGCTCAAACCTGTACTATTCTCAGAACTCCTCCTTATGTCCAAATTCAAAGGGTCACAGGCTTTGTTTGCATTTGACATTTGAAGCTCTCCATGGACCTCATTTTGCTTGTTCTCCCCCAACTCTGTAATTTCTGAGTCCTGTAGGACTTTCAAACTCAGTAAAAATATGGACAGTGGATCTATTGGTTTTCAAGTTAAAAGCATTCCTGCCTCTTCGAAATAGCCATTGTGAATTACAAGGAAAATTATTCTTTACTCACCATTTCTGTTATCAGGAGAAAGTTTTGACAAATTGTTTATTATTGAATTGATTTAAATTGGAAAAAAAACCCCAGAGTTTCTAGTGCAGTCTTCTTTTGAAATGTAAGTAAAGGTGTGGCCCTTTTGGCTTTAGCTGTAAAACTTTATTTGTATTTAATTTGGATAATAAAACTTTTATGTATCTAGAAATAGCTAAACTTCAGCCTTGTCTTTGCCCACATTGTCATAAATCTTGATTATTAATGTCTGAGTAGACAGTAAATTGAAGAATGTGAATCTTTATTTTCTAGTGTAGTCTAAGTTGTGATCTTTGATAGTTAATATCAGAGGAAATATGCTCCTGTTTCATCACATCTTTTTTTCTCTGTTCCCAGTGAAATATTAACCCATTTGCATGTCCTAATTCAAATGCTTTCTCTTGTGTAGAAACTTCTTTACATGTAGATGTCTTTCCTTCATAAACCTCTATTGTACTTTGTACTTATTTATTCATTTCACCTTGTGAAATTACTGTCTAAGGTCAGAGATTGTATGTAATACACTCCTTGTGTTTTTTTAATATAAATTTGCATAGTGCTAGACATACTGAGTAATAGCAATAGCAGCAACAACAATGGCAGCAATAAATAAATTGAATAAATATGCCCTTGAAATAGTCCCTGAGGTAGGTACTTTACTATGGGCAGTTTATATCTCGGGGAGCTTAGAGAAGCTATGTGAGTTGTCCAAGTTAGCCAGTAAACAGAGAAGTTAGAATAAGAAACCAGGCAGTTAGAGTCTGAAATATACTCCTTAAGCTTACTAAATGCAAGTAAATATTTATTTAATTTATTAACCGTTTCTTTAAACAAACCTTTTAGACCTCACTCATCCAAATGAGAAGGGTGCAGTTTACATATTCTAATACAAGTAAGTATTTTGGTTTAAAAAAAGTATAAGCCTAAAGTAATCCTGAAATAAGCCTCATAAAACTAACAAAACAATTCTAAAGAACACGGCTTTGGAAATATTTTAAGTAATAGTAGCTTCACTAGAGTCACTCCCAAGAAGACAGCTCTGCAAGATAAAGTTCAATTGAATCGAAAAAATTGTAATTAGCTTAATACCACTTTTTCCATACTGCCTGCTGATAAGGAACTTCATCCTCTTTCATAGTTATGGAGTCCACTAGCTCTTTACCCCATACCTGTGTACAGTGCAGCCAGCTTCTGGCGACAGCTGATCTGGGGATTGAAGAGTCCTTTGTTCTATCTCTAACCTTTTTAAGGTACTTTAGTTACATTAGTACAAGGAAGAGAGTGAACTCAGATCAGAACTCAAACATCTCTATTATTTTTATAGCCTGTTTCCTTGTTATCCTTTTAAAGTTTATTTATTTATTTATTTTTGAGGGAGAAAGAGTGCGAGCTGCAGAGGGACAGGGCTGGGGGTGCCGGGGGAGAGAGAATCCCAAGCAGGCTCTGCGCTCTCAGCTTGTGGCTCCATCTCTCAAACCTCAAGATCATGACCTGAGCCGAAACCAAGAGTTGGATGCTTAACCAACTGAGCCACCTAGGCGCCCCTTCTGTCACTTTCTACCATGCATTGTAATCTACTGCCATGCCTGGGATATGCCATCCTTTTACTCACAGTATTACCTATTCTCCCTTCCAGCCTTCTGGATAGCCCAGTACTATAGAGTGCTCTGGTTTCAGGCACAGATTCTGGAGCCAGTCTGCTTAAATTCAAAACCTGCCTCAGCTAACTGCTGGCTCTGTGACTTCTCAGTGACTCAGATTCCTCATTGTAGGAGTAATGATGGTACTACTTCAAAGGATAGTTATGAGGCTTAACTAAGTTAATACATATAAAATGTTTCAAACAATGCTTGTCATGAGGTAAGTATTTAGCGAGTATTACCTGTTGGCTTTTATCATCTTCTCCTCCTCCTCCTCCTCCTTTATCATTTACCTGGTGAACTCCTATGCTTCTTTGATGTCCTGCTAAACATTTCACAACTTTTCATAGCTTTTTCAGAGCCCCACTGTTCCAGGCAGGCTTGGTCCTTATTTTATGCTGCCACATTGTTCACTGTCATTTCAATACTGGCACACTGCGTCTTGTTATTTGAACATGCATCTGTTTCTTGATCATTGTAAATACATTGAAGTCAAATGTAAAGGTGAAGGAAGGATGAAAGAAGTTTGTACTGTGTCTAAAATTATTTGGAATTATCACCCTTGTGAATAATATGGGGAACTTTTTTAGTCACTCCTAATGTTAAAGAAGTTGGGAGATTTTTCCTCTGTCTAAAAAAGTCATAAATATTTTTCAAGCTTTCTTTGTTATTCAGAAGTTGATTGGAAAGAACAATTCTTTTATGATCTCTATAAGGAAGATATCAATAGGTTACTTCTAATGCATAGTGACCTATCTACATAGTATAATACCATATGATTTCTAAGCAAACATTTGGAAATTAAATAAAAATAAATTTCTTTCAAACATTTGTAAAATGTTGACCTTTATTTCTGATTCATAGTGGTCTTTCTCCAGTTAGTCTGAATTAATGAGGTTCTACTTCATGAAAAAGTATCAGGAATAACCATCACTAGCTCCTGATATTAAAACTGGGAGGAAATACTAATATATTCTTTTGTTATCTTGTTTTGTCTTTTCTAATGTAGGTTGAGTAGACTACTGTTTCTGGGTCTACAGTGAGATGCAGATTAACAAACTAATCTGAACATTTGCTATTGTGGTTTCACACATTTACCTTTAAATATTTCTTCTAATAGTAACTATATACCATTTACTTTGCAAATTCCACTTTATTTTTTTTTAACATTTATTCATTTTTGAGAGACAGAGACAGAGCATGAGTGGGGGAGGGGCAGAGAAGGAGACACAGAATCTGAAGCAGGCTCCAGGGTCTGAGCTGTCAGCACGGAGCCTAGTGAGGGGCTCAGACTCACAGGCTGCGAGATCATGACCTGAGCCAAAGTCTGATGCTTAACTGATTGAGCCAACCAGGCACCCTACAAATTCCACTTTAATTAGCATGTTTATATTGGGGAGACCATAAATATTTGCTTTGTATATTAAAAATAAAACACAAAATGTTTATATGTAATAATTACCTAACAGATGTTTCCTTTTCTTTCTTAAATATTTATTTTTAATTTTTTTAGTTTTTAAAATTTTATTTAAATCCAAGTTAGTTAACATATAATGTAATAATGATTTCAGGAGTAGAAGTTAGTGATTCATCACTTAACATAGAACACCCAGTGCTTATCACAGCCATTCCCCTCCTTAATGCCCATCACCCATTTAGCCCATGCCCTCACCCACCAGCCCTCCAGTAACTGTGTTTGTTCTATGTATTTAAGAGTCTCTTATGGTTTGCCTTACTCTCAGTTTTTATATTATTTTTGCTTCTCTTTCCCTATGTTCATCTGTTTTCTTTCTTAAATTCCACCTGAGTGAAATCATATGATGCTTATCTTTCTGACTGACTTATTTCACTTAGCATAATATACTAGTTCCTAGATGTTTCCTTTTCTTAAAAATGTTTTTAAAATGCTTAAATACTAAATAATTCTAAATATACTCAGAGCCTTAAAAATCAAACAAGTTACTGAAAATTCAAATATATATTTTCATATTATCACATTTCACAATGAGATGACATACTACATTTAGGAAGAATGTATTTTTCTTTTTTCTAGAATTTATTTCTGGATGGTTAACCAAGGGTACATTAAAATATGTTTATTCTAATGGGCCATATCTCAAATATCAGTAGTGTCAAATGATTCTATTATTTTTCTAAGGTATCTTGGTTTTATTGACAATGGAAGATAATTAATTGGTATCTCTTTTTAATTATTTTTAAAACAGGACAGAGATTTCTTCTGCCTTCAGATGTCTTTCTGCTTGACTGAACTGCACCTGTGGTCTTTGAAGAATACCTTACACATTGGGGGTAAATGAGTCTGGGTTATTTCAATAATTTTCAAATATAAGCTGCAATGTTGTAAGTAAGTACTAGTAAAGGTGAGAGCTTGGATTCTCCTGCTAGAGTTGCATTATTATTTTTTTTTTTTTTTGCCTATTAATGTTTTTTTATTAGTTTCTTTTCTTTTTTTTTTTTCTACAAATAGTTTATTGTCAAATTAGTTTCTACATAACACTCAGTGCTCATCCCCA